TAATTGCCCATTTAGGACGAAAAAACTTGGGAAATTGACTTGCGAATGGAGAATTCTATGGGTAAAGTAAACATTTAGCCAGTGGTCACTAAACTGAGTGCTGGGATGAGCCTAGCTTAGAAATGTTTCGAATCTCTGAACAAATGTTGCTTTTACAGAATATATTTCATTTGTTGCAACCTGTTGCGTTGGGACTCTTGATTCGATATTTCCGTTATGATTCGCCGCTTTCGAAGAGGGATGCTTATTTGGCAGCTCTGGGTGTGGGTATGACTAGCATCATGATACCGATCATTCATCATCCGTATTTTCACTTTTTGTTAAAATTTGGTTTGGAACTGAAAACCGCATGTTCCGGAATGATCATGCAAAAGGTTTCGATTTTTTTTTCAAAAATCTACTTCCTTTCATGCCGTGAACGGAGCCGTTTCTCGAAAATTGCGCTGCACCCGGAGGGAATCGAACCACTGCTCTTTGCATCCGGGCAAATGTGTTACTACTACACCACCGATCCTTTGCTTTAGGTTCAGTCTGGCGGCACATCTACTGTGTATCTGCCTTTTAAGGCAATATACACCTTTCTTTTCTTCTCTGCATCCTGTAGGCGGTTTCCATCTTTTTTCTTTGTGACAGCTTCTTTTCCGGCTTTTTTCGGATTTTTCGCCATATTTCTTGCTTTGTTCTTCATGTGGTAATTGAAAGTACGTAACCGCATTTTTGTGATGATGTAGCATGAGCAGTGGCTTGCTACAGGAGAAAGTTGCCTCATAGAGGAAAGGCCCTGTGCAATCTCACGCAATATATCATTGCGCTTCAGCAGTCCAATGGGTTTAGCACTGAACATTCTAGAGCTGATACTGTTTAGTTATGTTTTTTTAGAGGCAGCAAAAAATTGCCTTAATTTTTTATAAAAATTACTTAAAATGCTATAAACGCCAACTTTTTTCTCATTTTATTCTCCGATTAGCTATTATTTCATTCGTTCTATCGCACCATTGATGCAGCTGACAATTTGTCCATTCCTCACTTTCTTAAACTTCTCTCAGGATCACATAATTCCATGTAGCAGTTTCAAGCGGAACCTTTTACTGCACTGGCAGTCTCTCCTATTAGTGTCTGAGATACCAGTCATAATTTTTATAATTTTAGGGTGTTCGATTAAGCTGTGGGGCACTTCACAGAACAACAGTCGGTCACATGATCAATCTTTTATCAAATGATATTGCCAGATTTGAAGTGGTTCGTTTTCTTTTCTTCCAGTGATTCTCTACATAGTTAGTTAGCAGTAGCTTTTTTTTGAGGGAAACTCTACCCTAAAGTGATGGATCGACATAAACTTGCTTGCCCATTGAATATTGCATGATTCAAATGCCAAGATTATGCTCGGATGATCGGTGTGGTATTTCATTTTAGTGATGTTACCGGAATGTTCTCACACCCAAGTGCAGCTATATTTAGATTTTCTTCAATTTCATTTCAATTTTTGGCTTTCATTTATAATCGTAAAATGTTTTGCAGACTTTTCTGTTTTTGCATTACTTTTGGTTATCGCCATTATTGTTGATTGCGTATACTTCTATGCTTTGGTATGAAATTGGATTCTCATCACTTGCCGGCTTCTTAGCACTACTTTTATTGGTACCCATTCAGGGTTATTTCAGCCGACGAATGGGAAAATGCAGGTATTTTTTCAAAACATTGTTTATACTGGCTGGAATTTGGTGGAAGAATCCGCTTGAATAGCTGTGCGCAACTACGTGGATGAAAGAGGCCGAAAATAGAGAGTGAAGGAGTTACAAGATGCAGTGGCAGGAAGAAACATGATGATGAAGCAGGAACTGATCAAAATGTCAAAATAGTGTTTACTGTTTAAAATGTTTGATGCTGAGTGTATTTTTTTAATTTTCCCGAAGTGGTAAATTGTGATATTCTTCCTCTTTCAAATCCAGAAATTTCGCACTGTGACTCTCCTGAAATTTTTCTTTCTGACTCTGTAGAGATGATACTTCTAATTTATGGAACAATTTTTATAATATACGCACCGGTAAAAAAATTAGGCAATTTTGCAGTAAT